CACACATCCCCAATGCAAATAGGGATCAGATCAATCGGATAAGGCACCTCGGAGAACTCTAGAACACAACCTTGATATACCACAGATGTAAAAACCCCGTGTTCATTGGTGAGACAAACCCTTAATGGACACTCTAACTCCCCAATAGGCATATCAAACTCCCTACTGAATGATCGTGATACAAAGGACTGACTCGCACCCAAGCCAAACAACACAAGTGAAGGTAAATAGTTCACTGGGAACATACCTATCAGGGGCATACATATAAGCATAACATATAACATAATTAACTATTAATAATAAATAAAAACATACCTACCACATCATCTGGAGCTACTCTGGCCTCCTAGGTAGTGAGCTGGAAAGCACAACCCCGAGCAATCAAGGACTTCGCCCTCCTCTAGCGGCCATCAGTGATACTCAAAGTAGCTGGCATCGGGCCGTGCACCGGCTTGGCAACGAGCAATAGATAGTTGACCTTCACATGGCCAACCTAATCACAATGATAGCAAATCATGGAACTCAAATTAGGGCCAGCTGGTGGCAATCCCTTTCATAGTGCCCTCTTTGCCATATTTATGGCACACACCACCTGATCGACATTCCCCCTCATGAACCTTGACGTACCTCCCACAAGTGTGGCTCCTCTGACTCCTAGATCTAGTATCAGCAGCCTTGAACAACTTGGGTGCAGGCTGCGACTGCCCCGTGGCAAGTCTCTGCTCCCTCGTTTGGATCTCCATCTCAATCTCATGCCACCTAGTGGCCTCTTGCATCTTCAAAAAAGAACCATATCGTCGAATGGATACAAACTACTTGATATCCGTCTTGAGCATGATCAAGTAACAGGTCATCTGAGCCTGCTCAGAAGCATTAAACTTAAGACAAAACATGGCCCTCTTTGTGAACATCTTGGTGATCTCCGTCACCGACGCATCCCCCTGCCTCATATCCAGATACTCTTAGGCCAACCTCTCACGCTCCACTAGTGATACATATCTCGATCGGAACATCTCCAATAACTGCTCCCAAGATACAACAGCTCTCTGCTCAGTAGAATACGAGCTAGTAACAAGTCTCCAACAATCCTTCACTCTGGACCTCAGAAGACTCAGAGCACACTTGACCTTCTAGTCAGCTGAGCAAGATCAAGTGAAGAAACATCCCTCAATGTTATACGACTACCTTATTGCTATGATCGGGTCCTGAACTCCATCAAATGTCAGGGGATTTGTATTGTCAAAGTCCCGATACTAGAAGACTCTTCCATCACCAACCCCAGTTGCGGCAACGGCTTTGGTGGCTGCAACAGCAGCAGCCTCAAAGCAACATAATTGTCACAACTAGCAAATTTAGGGTCGAGATGTTTATTCATGTACAAACAATTTCTCTATGTAACCTTGTTGCATTAGATTATAGAAATTCAAACGACAATGTTATATGAGTACATGTATGCATACACTAAGAAATCAAGATGTAATAGCCTTTTATAAGACCAAGTTTAATAGCTAAACAAAAACCAAATTATAGACTTGTGGTTATGTGTTTTCGGACCAAATAACCCTAGGCCAAAAACTCTCCTTATTGGGCCTTTTAAAACCGAAAACTCTTTTATTTGGGCCATGTCAAACTCGAGAACCAATATCTAAAAAACCGCAAACCTTGTGTGAGAGGAGAGTGTTTTCATCCACCCTGGAACCAAAAAGCCTCCTCCAAGCCAAAGAATTCGGTTAGGACATAAGACAAAAAAATGGCAAATGTTGACACCTCATAGCTTTACCCTTCATTACCCACCAAATTTCCACACCACACCCCTTAATACACTTCATGCTTCCATGCAAAACCCTCAAATGACCAATATGTATAGATAAAAGCCATCACTCTCCCTTCCTTTTAAACATGGCCGATGAGAGGAAGCTCTCACACTCTTACCATTTTTTCCTACTCTAACTCTTCTTTCTCTCTCAAAAATTCGTCCAAGCTTCTCCAAGTCTCGACACCACCAAGCCAACTCTTGTGATTTCGGTTAGTATCTTCACAAATCCTAAGTATTTTTACATATTTCCTTATCAAGTTCTCCATGTTTACACACATTTTCATGTCTTAATTCCCTAGAACACCAACTTTTTCCAAGAAGTTCATCAAGATCATCATATTCTAAGCTCGACATCGCCTTCATCTTCCTTCCCACCACACAAAATACCAAGGTGAGCTTCATAGCCCCAAGTTTTCGTGTTTTATATGTTTTTAACCGCGGCAGGGGGGGGGGGGGCGAATACAAGTCAAATTTCATTTACCAAATGGTTATTTGCATGCATCAACTTGTTTATGGAATAATTTATGCTTATGATGTTAAAAGTTTCATATATACATACATACATAAAAATCGCGTTTTCTAAGGTCCTTATAAGCCTAGATGCGTTTGTCCATTGGACTTTAGCATGTACTATGATTACTTTTTAAATATGGAACAAATTCTTGTATAAAAAGGTTGATATTATTTGTAAACTACCTAAAAATCATGACATGTGTGTTTGTCACCATCTTTGTTACACAAAAATCGTGTTTATAGGTTTATTCCCACAAATATATCGAAAACAAAATATTTTATATGACCAAATATGTTTGACTCTTGGACACTTGCATGTCTCGCTTTTGTCAAATTGAAATTTACTCAAATATTGGTACAAAATGTTAAAGATATCATTTGATTTGCTATAAAAATCGTGATCCGCTAAAGTTGACCAAAATAAACTATTTTGGTTTACGAAATTTTAAACCGGAAAAATATGAGATGTGCAAGAACTACAAATTGATTTTTACTAAAATAAACTTTTCTAGTAAAAATTGTCGTAATTATCGTCGTCACTATTTTGATGGGGTTAAACCCAAAAATATTATGTTAGGTTTCCAACATATATTACAAGTATACATAACTACAATTGACTATTTATATAAAATTTTATAAATAGTTTGAACAAAAAGATATATAAAACAAACTGCTGATGGTATAGCTTGCATGTCATAAAGAACATGTCGTAAAATGTCATAAAATACATGTCATGAATTTTCAAAAGTACAATTATTCTATGATACAAGAAAAATGAGTCGTAGTTCACGTAAACCAGTTAATGCTCTTGTGAGATGTTCTCTTCACCGTACCTACCTAGCGTATATCTTAAGTCATGCATTATAACCAAAGTTTCCTGGAGGGAGAGTAAAACTGTTGTGTATAGATCTATATGGGATTGATAACCCCACACCTCAGTTATTCACTATAGTTAGACCGGCAAGTCTTGGGTGACAAAAGTCCTACCAGTTCGGACGCCTAAAGAACATCGTGTTCAGGCATATCAGTCATATTAGCATGGTTATAACAACTCACATAGGGATTAAAATACTATCTCGGTTTACGGGAAGCTTACATTTCATTAGTTTTTCTAAAATATATAACTACATACTATTGTTCAGTACAACAACCCTCATACATTTTTGGTCTTAAGGTTTAAGACTACAATTTTCATACATCAGAAAATATTGGATTTTTTGGGAACATGCATTTTATAAGTATAAGGAAAGTATACAAGGGAAATACATACATCTACAGTTCATACATAAGAAAATATTGGATTTTCTGGGAACATACATTTGACACTACAGTTTTCATATATTTTACAATTACAAGTAAAAGAAACAAAGGACATGCATACATATATTCTCAGTTTTTGGTATAAAAACTACAACTCATTTTTATAGAAAATATCGGATTTTTTGGAAATATACAAGCCTTTACCAAACAAAGATGTTACAAACCTTTTTCATACAAATATGCTTATGAACTCACAAACATTCAATGTTGATGTTTTTCAAAATGAATTGTATTTTCAGGAAACCAGTAGATAGGTATGCAACCCTTCTTGAGGGTCGACATCATCGTTTCATGATTTCTACTCTTCGGTTATCTGTATTAAACTTTTGAACAAGTAAAGTGTTGTAAACGATGTAAACTTGTATTATCAATGTATGAATGTTTGGTTTTCTATGTTTCATTACTATTCAATTGCTATGATATTGTACATGAAGTCACTCCAACCGCCCCCATAGGTTTCCACCGTCCTGGTTTGGGGGTGTGACAATAACGCTCATCAAAATACTCTACTACGGCGGTCTTGATAGACCCGAACATCTTTGGCAACTGTGCTCGAAAGTGAGTAACAACCTCTTCCTGAAGAATCTCCCTAATCATGTCCTTGGACACAGCTTGCCAGTTCCCGATCCCGATCCGGATCCAGCCTCAAATCATCTCGTCGTAATCATATAGAAAATAAATCAGGGAGATATCAGATAACACGCATATCTGATATACGTTGATGTACACCCAGGGTACACCACGTACGCATGACGTACTTCGAAGTCCCAAAATTACAATAATATCGTTAGGGTTCCATTGCATACTTTCTTGAACTAAGGGACCAAAATGCAACATAAATAAATTAAAGGATTGAAATTAAAAGTATTTCAACATCGGAATGTTACAATTTATAAATGTTTCTCCTTTTTTATATGTGTTTTTAGCATCTTACCAAACATAAATAAATAAACATAAACAAACTAAATTTTAAATTAACCAACACAAACATGAAAAATTGTTGGTTTATCTTCTATATATTCGTTTTGTTTATTTGGTTCAACTTAAACTAACAAAAATGAAGTTCTTACCATTATTTGCTCGGCTCGTTTCCTAATAGTGTATGTCATTTTTTTAGATGTGCAATATGAGAGGTGATTACTTATAATAAGAAATTTAGATGAGGTTGATAACTTTGTTTGATAAATAAAATTACATCCTTAAGATTAAATTTCATTAGAATTTTTTTCCTAAACATATAAACATGCGAAAATTATGTAGTGGTGTGTTAAGTGTTGTCCATAAAGAATCATGGCCCCAATCTAATTTAGCCCAAAACCCGTTTTCAAAATGGACTCTCCAAACCCGATGACAATCTTCATCATCTTATCCATTCCAGAAACTCTTTAATCCCTTTGCAAAACCCCCTCACACTCACAGGGGATTTTCTTCCAATGGCTTCTATCTTCTCCCTCGCTTCACCCTCTTCATTACTCACCAACCATTCTTCTAATTTCAAGGTACACTCTACTTTCCTTCATCTGCAATTTGGTTGAATCTATGTCTAATTGTCTTACTGTCTATATATATCTTGCTTATTCTATCTTTTGACAAACAGGGGAATGTAAGAACTCTCAAGTCAAGCACTTGTCAGTTTCCTTCAAAAACAAATTACAATAACCACAACACTGTACAACAACAAAGGAAATCGTTAATTGTAGCTTCATCGTCACCGATTCCCTCGGCTGTAGTCAGTTCAAATGTTCGATACCGACTGGACAATTTGGGACCCCAACCTGGTTCTAGAAAGAAAGCCAAGAGAAAGGGAAGAGGTCATGCTGCTGGCCAAGGTGGGAGCTGTGGATTCGGAATGAGAGGACAGAAATCCAGATCAGGACCCGGTGTGCGAAGGGGTTTTGAAGGTGGTCAAATGCCGCTTTATCGTCGGCTTCCAAAATTAAGGGGTATTGCAGGAGGTAATAAAAACTTCTTTTCGCATACTCTTTCTTATTCTTCTGATTATTTAGGTTGATTTTATGAGTGAATTTCCAAGCTTCTGATACTTGAACTTTGTTCGCCTACCACCTGTTCGATGAAATGCCTTTCTGATACTTGAATTACTCTAATGTCAATTGAATCAAGGCATGCACGCTGGATTATCCAAATTCGTTCCAGTTAACCTAAAAGACATAGAAACTGCTGGATTTGAAGAAGGTGAAGAGGTTTCACTAGAATCCTTGAAAGAAAAGGGCTTGATCAATCCCTCAGGAAGAGAAAGGAGACTTCCTCTCAAGGTAACCTTCTATTCATCCAACAATGAAAGCGTTTGAATTTACTGATATACCCTCTGATTGTTTTATTAGATTCTTGGTGATGGTGAACTGAGTGTGAAACTAAACTTCAAAGCACGAGCCTTTTCTGCACAAGCAAAAGAGAAGCTTGAAGCTGCTGGCTGTTCATTGACTGTGTTACCTGGCAGAAAGAAATGGGTGAAACCATCAGTGGCCAAGAATATTGCCCGTGCTGATGAATACTTTGCCAAGAAACGGGCGGCAGCTGCTGCGGCTGGTGGTGGTGAGTCGCCGGAAACACCTTCTTCCACCGCTTAAAACCCACGCAAGTGAAAATCGGATTTTTTGTTGTTGTAAGAAGATTGGAAGTTAGATGTAAAGCCACATTGATTCGTATTTTGTTTGTCTGGAATCTTATTTTTTTTTAATCTCTTTGTTATCATCAAGAATCTAAAGATCTCATCTTTTGCTTTCAAATGTCAATATTCTCATTTGGTGATTGATTGATCTTCTTGTAGAGTTTGTGTACAACTTGATTTGTGTAACTTTTAGTGTTGAAACTTGAAAGCTTGAAAGTTTACCTCTTGTTTGATTATGTGAAAAATTGTTGGGATGTTATAATCAAAGAAACATGTAGAAAATGTCAAGGGAGGTCAAGGGTTCGAATATATGCTCCCACAAAAATGTTCAAAAGCGGTGATTAATGTGTTGTTTGTTTTTTCAAGAAAAACCATTTCTGGCTGCGCAGGGCAACACACTTGCAGTATATCGTCTTTTGCAGTTGTTTGTTTTCTAGACTACTTTTAAATTGAAAACTATTGTGTGTGTTGCATGGTGCAACACTGAATCTTTGTTTTCAAACCACTTTCCAAAGTTATATTATTCAATATAATTTTTTTTTTCAACAATATGGATATTATTTTAATAATATTATGAAGGAGATTATAAACAATTCAAGTATATTTTACATAATTTCAAAATCATTTGGTAAATATCATATAAATATTTTTTTGTGTTATATTGTCTGTAAACAAATATTAATAAATTTTAAAGCTAATCATTATAATTACCAAATTTATTGAAGTTAACCGGAAAAACAACAATCGTTTTTGAAAATTTAACAAAATGAAAATGTTCGCTAAATTAACAATTTTATTTATTGTTGTTTAACAAATATTATATTTAACTAGTTGTGAAACTTGTATATTATACGGGTTTATTAAAATAAAATGTTAAATAGAAACAATTAAATGGGAAGTTTATTTGAATTTGAAAATTATGAGGAAAAAAACATGAAAAATATAAATAAATAAAAATTATATGTTTAGTTATCAGATTTATGTATTAAACGGGTTAATTATAACAAAATGTTAAACATAAAGGTTTAAACCGTAAATTTATTTGAAATTGAAATTGAAATTTAAAATTAATAGTTATTATGATAGGTTTAATTTATGGAAACTAAATTAATGATATACTGTAAAATAAAAAATAAAGTAAATGACAAATGGAAAATAAATATATCTCAAAATTATGATAAAATGACATGTGGACTATTGAGTAAGAAAATGACATGTAGCAAAATAAATTCTTAACTGTTAGGGTAGATTATTTAATATAAACGTCTTTAAAAATCATATCATCATTAATAATATTAATATTTGATTTGCATGTGATTAAACTAAATAAAATTTCAATTTAAAATTATATTTAATTATTATATGGTTAATTTCAGTTTATTGCAGCGGTCTGCAAACGTTAAAAACAAACAAACTTTTTTTTTACAAGCTGCAACCATTTGGTTTATCTCTTCTGCTGCAGAAGGAGGTTATAGGATTCGAAGAAAAAATGGGCCCAAATATGGTTATGGTGTGAGAGCCGGTTATAATGGGCCCAGATGTGGTTAATAGTTCAAACTATGAAACCCAATCCTTAACCTTGGTTATAATGGGCCCAGATGTGGTTATGATGTGATGTGAGGAGAAAATGGAAAACTATAAATGACATCTTTATTTATTGTTACATTACATATGGATTTAATGCATGAATAATTTATATGAAATATAGTTTTTATGCAAAGCACATGGTGGTGGTTATTAATTTTAGTACTTTGCCTGTGGGTCACTAAAAGTGGTTGAGTGTTGGTAAAGTACCATGACCAGTGACCACATAAATAATTATTAGGATATTACCACACCAAATTAAGATTTTTTAACTTTACCATTCATTGTATTTGATTAAAAAAAATGAAATGGTATATTATGTTTCTATATTTTAGATCAAACATTTATACACTACCGCTAAGATAAGACTTCAATCAAAATATGTATTTATTTGTTTCTTTAATAATCATATAAAGAAAGATGAAAATTGAAATGACAATTGACAAATATCTAACACTTCAAGTGTACAATAAAGTACTTTTTAAATATCGGTTTTCTCGTTTTGTCATTTAAAAAAGAAAAAAAAATCGGTTTTTCTCGTGTAGTTATTGTTGTTTTTGCTTGATTTATCTCCATAATAAAGATTTTGCGTTTGATATTTAAAAAATTTAATTGAGCAATCTTCTAATGTTGATGCTATGTTTATTACAATAGAATTCTGATAAAACTGTTAAATAAGAGTGACTAACTTGACAAATATATATATATATATATATAATATATATATATATATATATATATATATATATATATATATAAACCTGAATTTTCAAGAAATAATTCTTAAAAAAAACTGAGAATTGTTATCGTCATAAACAGTAGTTCAATGGTATGCAACGTGTATGGGCCAATGGGGGGACTCAATAATTGTGCTTTTCAATTGATGAATGTTGCTTGCTTTTTAATACACCTAATTACATGGGATAATAATATAACATTTTTATAAATTTTTTATTTTAATTTTATTTTAACTAAAAAATATTTGTAGTTGTGTTTCTTTGCCTTTATTCAAAACTATATAGATTTTATGCTCAAAGAACATAATCGGTTATATGTGTCGTCTAAATCTCTACACTGAGTATAAGATTACAAAAATATCGTACATAACAATTTTTGATCATACATAACAATTTTTGTTTTAAAATATTATATTATATAACCTTTAAAACATCAATTTTTTATAAAAAAATTATTATACTTCCCTTATAAAAAATAAAGTTTAACGAATAATGACATCATAAACAATAGGAAACATTGTCAAGTTAACTAAAATTTTAAAAATCTTAGAATACAAAACTATTTTTAAACATTTTATATTTTGGAATACTCATCGTCATCATTATTTGTAAAAGAAATGTCTTTTTCAAATAGAGGGCAATTGGGAAAAGCATGTAACATGATTATGAAGTATTTTAATTAAATTGACTTTGACAAGAAAATTCAAACCACATGTTGAAAGTGTGCACTCCTCGCCTATATGTGGAGATTAGTATTATGTGGCTGATTTTAAAATTTTCAGAGGTCAATTTCAAAATTGGATTGATGCAATAACTACTACAGTTTACAACCATTAAAATTCACAAATGCATGAAAGGTTTGAAGGCGAGTGAAGTGATGGTGGCATTGGCAAGCGGCAATAGTGGTCATAACAAAATGAAGTAATGTGATGGACAAAAAAATTGTTTGAGCTGACCTACTAGCTGAAAATCTAACTGTTAGTTGAAAAACTAGTAATTAAATAAAAAATTAGTTGATAGCTGAAAAGCTAGCTGATAAAAAATAACGTTTGGTAAAACTAGCTGAAAAACTAGATGACATGTAATAAATATGTGTTTTTATAATTAATTAAGTGATGTATTTGAAAAAAAAAAATTAAAAGGCTCCTAAAAAACTAGTATAAGTAGCTTTTCAAAAAGCTAGCTTATAAGCTACTTTTTGGCATACCAAACACGACAACATAAAAAAAAACTCAAAAAATAACCTAGCTTATCAACTAGTTGTGGTGCGCCAAATATAGCATTATCAAAACTTTTATAATCTAAAAGCTATTTTATATGTTTTTTTAAAGCTTTTAGCTTTTAACTTTTATGTTTTATGTCATTTTACACATTTCAAAAACTTATAATTACTTTGTTGAAAACTTCTATAAAATTAAATATTATAACCGGATACAACTAGTTTGGTTAAACATAACTCATAATGTATGTATGTTTCAAGCGACCTAAGCTAATCATCTAGACTTTACCTTGAGGAAGTAACAATAAACGCTAGGTCTTAAAATGAGCAACAACTTGTGTAACCAATACACAAAGAGAAAAGAGATAGGATCGCAAACAATATCAATAATAAAGTCTACTAATGAGAACAACAATACATGTTATCACTTCATATGTAAATTGTACCAACTAATTATCAAGTATGTGACCATATAAATGAACATAAGTATATATCATGGTTCCCCACTATGAATGTGAAGTAGACTTATGGAAATATATATTATGGTTCCCCATTGTGAATGTGTAGTAGGCGTATGTTTCCAAATAAAGATGGAGGCTTGTATTATTGATAACAAGAGGTAGTGTGGCTTCACCTCGTATATGCTTTGGGAGAAACACAATATATGATACGAAAATTTTAAAGAATAAAAATGAAAAAAGGATGATGTAGATTTTTACCATCTAGTCATCGAATGCGACTTAGTATCTTATTACAGAAGTCACATACCAAAGTCATATGATTCTATTCTTTGGTCAATTTGTGTATATGCAACTTGAATTCAAATGTATAAGTTGTAGAGAATTGTGCGAATTAACCGATACAAAAAGGGACTATAAAACTGGTTATATGAACTAATTTTGATTTTTGAGATATATATATATATATATATTATATATATATATATATATATATATATATTATATATATATATAATAT